TTCAACAGCAGAGAAAGGAAGGCGGGGGTTCGTCCCTCCTAGCACTGATTGGTGCGGGTTATGCACTGAGGCTGCTGATGTGCGTCTGCAGGAATCTCCTGCTGGATTTACTGAGGAGGAGCTGGAGGCTGGAGTCGCTTCTGTTTGTGTTCTCTGTAGTGACCAGGATGAAGTGATGTAAGTACCTCCAGATCTCGTATGCATCCAGTTTCATCTGAATACTTAAGCAGCACATCAAGAAGATGGTGGTGGAACTTTGTTTTACTGTAGCTTTTAGATAATGTTAGTGTGTGTCTTCTCATGGATGTAATGGTTGGCAGTTAAGTTTTTGTTTCAGAGCTAATAGGTTCCATCTGTTAGCCTTCTCATCGCTCGTGCTTTGCTGCCTCTCCACAGCCCAGTGTCTGACCATGTTGTATGTGCACGGGGCCACTTATCTCTCAGGGGACCCCCTGGCTGGTGCTCAGGCATGGACCCTCATTAGCATTTGAATATGTTCTCCGAGGCAGTGGAGATTTAGCAGTTGTCAGAACTCCCCAGAACATCGTTTTCAATTTCTGAAGTGATCAATCATCCGATTCGACTTGTTTGCTGCTTCACTGCCAGCAGCCAGCAGCGGAGTGCAATCCTGTTGTTGTGTTTCTGTCGTTGGCCGCAGTGCAACTCGCACACTGTCCTGAAAGTATCCTTGTTCTAGCAATTTGTTTGCTAGTCTTTTGCAGTCAGTGTCATTCGTTTGATTTAAAGTCGTTACGGCTCTGACGGACTAAGAACTTTGGAACCAATGAGAGACGTTTCTTTCCCTGCTGGAGACACGTGTAGCTTCATTGCTGCTCTCATCACGTGGGGAGTTGTATTTGTAGGACTGTGGAAGCTCATTTGGGTCTCAAATAAGGATCTGAAAAAAAGTGGTGTCTTATCTCAAACCGATAGTAGAAATAGAATAAATATATAAGATGAATGGAAGAAATGTATTGCACCATTATCACGTTTTATTCAATTATTGAGAAGTAATTTTCCTCAGTTGGTTTTGTTTCAGCTAATCATCATAATTCAATGCTAAAAATGTCCTTTTTGTGCCACTCTGTGTACCCCAAGTGTCCCAGCATCAACGTTGAACATTCTTTATCGTAGTACTTGTTTGAATAGCCACATTTTCACTGCGCTGGCGCTGTAAAGGCTTTGTGAACATGATCTACCTCTCTGTTTTCCTCAGGCCAAATCCAACAAATGGGCACTAGAGAGATAGGGAATGTATTTCCTATGCCGTAATGCATCATTTGTCCCAGTGAGTCCGTGGCATTTAATATAACAAGAGTTTATTAAACGTTCTCCGGTGTTCATGCTGCAAGTTTCCCTTAAATCACTCTGTTGCAGCATCACAACGGCAGAATTAATGAGAGCTATTTTTAGCCCCTCTTGTCCCAGAGCGGTCAAAATTGAATAAGGTTCTGCCTCACCCCTAAACCATACTACAGCACAAAATCTATTCTCTTAGTCAGATAATTGAACACCCCACCATATTGCCTCAGTTCCCTCTTTGGAAGAAATATGATTTTGTTTTTCTGCTGAATAGAGAGTTGGGGAGCCAGCACTCTTTAATTTTAATGATTCTCCAAAGTGAATACAAAATGAAACGCCATCTCAGCTCCCCTCCTCTGGGCTCGTGTTGGGCTAGCATCGTGGGGACTTGTTGGTTTTTAAGGATTTTTGTCTCCAAATGAAATTATGATTATTTTCCTTTTTTGGTGCAGATCTTATACTTGACACAACGTATGGATCAGTAGAACCTGGATTACTACTTGTAACATAGCAAAGCAATTGCTTCCACCATTTAGTTTCAGGTGGGTAGAGGTTGAGTGTTTTCTGTTTCGTAGCTACAGCACATCATCTGGAAAGGGAAGAAATAGAAAAGTTTAAAAAAACAATTAATAGTTTGAATAGTACAAAGCTTGACAAAAGCTTCTTGATATATGATGTAAAATGTGGGTAAAGATATCTTGAAAATTAGCTGGGAAAAACTCATTTTGAGCTACATTTCATTAGTATTAAGAAGTGTTGTGTGTCATAAGTCTGCGATATTTAGAAGTAGTATTTCACTTAACAAGATATTCAAGATGCACTGTCTAAAAACAAGTCCCTCTTCCTCACTGAGATGTGACTTTAGGTGTCTCATATTAAGTGGTATGAGATATTCTGACTAGCCATTACATAAATATACTTATTTTCTATTTGTCTTGCAATGAAGCACCAAGATCAGCTGCTCTTCACTATTCTACCGGCCAAATAGTTTTTTTTTTTTGTCAAATTGATTAGAAGAGAACGGTCAAAAGACGGGTACTTTGCCAAAGTGTCTGGGAGACTCGCCAACGGTCGCCAAAATCTGATGATATCCCTTTGTGCTTCAGACAGTGCTGCCAGGTCACACAAGTACTTTGTCTTAAATTAAAGCTGCAATGATAAGTCAATTATTTGATTAGTCGTTAGATAATAGATTAATCATCGAAGCCATTTTAGGCAAATATACCAGGCTGGTTGCAGCCTCTCCAACGTGAGTATTGTTCCTGTTTTATAGAGTTGTTAACTGAATATCTTGGGGTTTGAAAAATAATACATTAAATTACTTCAACAATTGATCGGTGGTGTTCAGTTTTCTGATAAGAGTATTTCTTTGACCGGCTTAAATAGTTTGTTCTGCCGAAGAATAAAGCCACACTAGGTTTATTGAATAATTTAGATATTGACATAGTCCATTTTGCCCACAGCTTTCCTGTCCGTTCTCCACTCAGCTGTGTGTGATCCATCTGTGTTGTAGTCCATCTGTGTTGTAGTGCTGGCTGTAATCCCCCAAGCATGACCCCAAACCATCATGGTGTGTCTCTGCCGTGGAGAGCGGCTGCCAGCTCTGGCTTGTGGCTTGAAGCTTCTGTTGGCACCGGTAGTTTGTGGCCATAAAGGGAGAACACAACGGTGCCACAAGCACTCCTCGGTCACTGGACGCTGAGGCGACTTTAGTAGAAACTACACAGGAGACTCGAACGTTTCCCTTCTCTTTCTTCTATGTTTACTTGACCTTTGAGATTAGTGTCTCTGCCTCTGAATAGGACACCAAGACGTTTGCTTGTGAGACTGAACACAGAGAGCTGTGCAGTAGTTTTTGGTTTTAATGTACTGCAAAGCATTACTTTTAATTCCTACGAAGAAGAGCACCTCTGAGGTAACATGTTTGTAATTAGTGAAGACTGTGTTTAGGGACAACCAAAAACAACAGTGCTAGTTTAAAATTCAAAAACAGCTTTTGTTTCTAAATGAATTCAGCCGTGTCTTCTTTAAACCTCCCATGGTTCATCAGAGGAACCTTCAGACACGGCCTGAAAATGTCACAACACCACACTGTTCCCCCTCTGTTACCAGAGCAACACGCTCTGCAGGAGGAGAAAGCAAAATTACATCCCTTCAAAGTGAAGTGTGTGTGTGTGTGTGTGTGTGTGTGTGTGTGTGTGTGTGTGTGTG